TGGAGGCAGAGGGATAGACAGCCTTTGCGGGGCGGGGGCTAACATCTGGGGAACTGTGGGCATCAGCCAGGAAGAGCTGAAGCCTGGGGGGCCCACCTGAAAGCCGATGGGGATGAAGCTGGAGAAGGGAAACTGGTTGATGTCCGGTGGCAGCGTTAGGCTGGGCCGGGCAGGAACTTCTGGGGGCTTGGCCTCGGTGATGCTCTGGGCCAGTGCGTGCTGACGGCCTGAAGGCAGCCCAGAAACGCCCAGGTTAGGCACCTGGCTCTGGTACCACCTCCAGCCCTCACCCTCAGCCCCTAGCCCCCTGCAGAAGGAGCTGGGCAGTGAGCTCTCAGGGGAGCCTGGAGCACCAGAGGGAGGGACCACAGCGACGGACCCTCTCTAAACAACAGAGGGGTCACGGGAAGAGCGACACCAGTCAAGCCGCACTCACCTTCCTCTTTTCTCAGCATGAGGGCCAGCTCAGCGGGGATCTCCAGGCGCTCCAGCTCCTGTCAAGGAGGCGTCATTGACCAGATGCTAAGGAAGGGGCTCAGGCACCCAGTGTTCCTCCTTACCCCTGGTCCATAAACTTCCCCTCCAAAGACCCTGGACACTCACACAAACAGGGTCCCAGGAGCCCTCAGAGGAACACCAAGGGCATCCAGACCTCTTCTCAGGGGGCACAACAGATGCCCTTGAGGGACAAGACCCATGCCGGTCCCCCTGGTATCCCATACTCCCCCCAAGCTATGCTAGTTTATCAGGTTCATAACCCAGCAACACCCTCCAGCTTCCAGGCACCTACCATGCTTGGCACGCTCTCGGAGGACCCGCCGTCGTGCCAGCCAGACCAATGCCCAAGCTGTCGGGGCAAATGCAGCAGGAGCTGATGTTCTCGAGAGGAGCCACCCCGAGCCTCCTGGCAGCTCCTCCCCAGCGGGGCAGTTCAGCTGCCCCCTCTTGCCCCCTGGAGGCCCCAACACAGGCGGGCAGAGGAACGAGCACAGACCCAGAGGGGCCAGCTGCCTGCCCCCAGCCGCCTGAGCCCTCAACCAGCTGAGCTCTGCGGATATCACTGCCTGTCCGTCAGGGCAGCAGGAAGAGGGCAGGAGGGCAGGAAGACAGGAAGGAATGGTCTCAGGGGACAAAGTCCAGCCAGGGAGGGGCCAGAGAGGGGCAGTATGTGGGCACTGCCCTTTGAGCTGCTTTATGGCCCTCAGCTAGGAGTCATCTGGTATGAGAGGGGAGCGGGTGGGCCCCAGGGAGGGCCGGAGGGGATGGAAGATGCTTCAGGCAGGGAGGGGACAGTGGGCCTGGGGGGACGGGCAGGGATGAAGGAAGGCAGTGACTTCCCGGAGGCCCCAGCCTACCCTGGCCAGGCAGACAGAAGTGGGAAGAGCTTGACCAGCAGTGGCCCGAGGCCTTGACCTTGAGTGGTTGGGCTAGGAGGGTGGACACCGTCAGGACTCAGCCAGCTAGGCCAGCAAGGTACCTGGCTTCTACCCTGAGCTGCAGGCAGCGCCTCACCTGCAGCCTCCGCCTTCTCCAGAGCAGGGGCCGGGCTGCCAGCAGGACCGTGTTCAGCTGCCCCAGGGCCGCCCGCCGCCGGAGGTACCGCTTCCTGGAGGCCAGGAACGGGTGGGGAGGAGTCCGAACTTACACCCGGTGCCCGAATCCTCCGAGCCAAGACATGAATGTAAAAGCTGAAGGCCCCGGGGGCTTCACGGAGGCAACAGGAAAAGGGCAGAATGCTCTGCAGAAGGGGTCACTTTTTATGACCTTAGACTCCGGAGCTGACTCCCTGGGATCATTCCCCTCCTATTTTGTTTGTTTATTTAGTTATTTAAAATGTATTTTTTATTGATTTCAGAGAGAGGAAGGGAGAGGGCGAGGGAGAGAGAGAGAAACATCAATGATGAGGGAGTCATTGATTAGCTGCCTCCTGCACGCCCCCCACTGGGTATTGAACCCGCAACCCTGCATGCGCCCTGACCGGGAATCGAACTGCAGTCTCCTGGATCCTAGGTCGATGCTCAACCCCTGAGCCACGCCAGCCGGGCTCCCCTCCTATTTAGTTACCGCTCCGGGTTTTAGTTCTGTTATCCATAAAAATGAGGATTTTTATAGACATAAGTGTTTAGAATGGTGCATGGCATATTACTATGTATTTTTAAATGGAGACATGTTGACTCACAAAACACTGCATTTCTGCAACCCAAGACAATAAATAGTTTGACTTGTGATTTCTAGATTGTTAGGCAAATGATTCTTATGGTAGAAATATCTGACCACCTTCTCATTTTGAAATCACACAGACTAACAGTATTTGTGTTAACTCATTTGCATTTCAATAGAGTCTGGAATATTATTATTTAAGAAGCAGAACCTCTAAAAATGGGAAAAAAAATGACGTCACTGAAAATCTAATAGGAGATCCTGGCAGAGACAATGTTCAGATAAAATGTCTTTGAGAATTTTCCAGTATAAGACTAGACTTCTCAATGAAGGAGCCCTGAGCAAGATAAACCCTTAAAAATAAACCTGTAGCCCTGGCCGGTTTGGCTCAGCTGGTTGGGCGCCGTCCCGTTTGATTCCCGGTCGGGGCACATGCCCAGGTTGGGGGCTCAATCCCCAGGTCGGGGGCGTGCAGGAGGCGGCAGTTCGGTGCTTCACTCTTACACTGATGTCTCTCTCTCTCTCTCTCTCTCTCGCTTTCTCTCTCCCCTCCCCTCCCTTCCACTCTCTCTAAAAATCAATGGAAAAAATATCCTTGGGTGAGGGTTAACAATAAGAACAAAAAAATAAAATATCATTCTTGCTGCAGAGTGAAGAATAGACTAGAAAACAGAACACTCAAGGAGTCAAGGCTGCAGGTTTGGGAGGCTTCAACAGATGAGCGTCCTGTGACTGGGGGTATTCAAGCAGAGACTACATGGGTGTGGGCGGGATGCCGTCCAGGAGGAGCCAGTGCAGATGGAATGGCACTGGGGCCGGGACACTTGCCTTGAGATCTTATGTCTCCCCAATCCTGCCCCACCACCTTGAAGAGGCCCGGGGCCTCACCCCACCCCTGCAGACCTGGCCTGGAGCCCCCGCACACGAGCCTGCATCCGCGGCAGGAGGCGAAGGCGCTGGTGGGAGATGCAGGCCCGGAGGCCGCGGTGCAGGATAAGTAGCGCCTGGGAGCGACGCTGGGCCCAGTGCTGCTCCAGTTGCTGCCAGCCCGGCTCCTGCAGCAGGATCTGGGGGCAGAGGCGTGGGCTGGAGTCAGGCCAGGTGTGGGTGCCAGGGGCCAGGCCCACCCTGCCCTTCGCCTGAGGCCTCAGCTTCCTCCCTTCCGGCCAGAGAATCTACTCTCCTGGGTGCCCGGGACACCTGCCACCCAGCCCCACTCCATCTCCCGACTACCCAGAAGGGCCACCAAACCCTGGGTTTGTTCCGGAATACGCCTCTCCCTTCCTAGCCATGCCCGCCCCTTTGCACACACACCCACCTGGGTGGATCCAAGGTGACAGAGGGACGACTCAGCCCCTAACACCTGGCTCAGGATGGCGCCACACCTCTCCCTGTCAGAGGGCTCTCCCAGCACCCCTGTCCCCAGGGTCCGGAACCTGCCGGAGGACAGTCAAGGTTGGAACAAGCACAGCATAAACCTCCCTCCACAGCTGACTGACACCCAAGCCCCCAGGTGTCTATTCAGGCTCTAAGTCATTTGACATGATTTGGAAATTGGAAAGTACCTACTATGTGCTAGGCACCCAGGAGAGTTTTGCTGAATGGAGGAGGGGCAGATGAACTCCCGGAGGTATAGAGGGGTAGATGGACAGTGAATAGTGAAAGGAGAGAGAGATGGAGGGAGAGAAGGTGAAAGAGAGAAGGATGAAGGGAAGGGTTGGGTGCCAGGCCCAGGACCCCTGGGCAAGTGGTCTACCTCCACCGGGAAGGAACCCCAGGTTGACCAGCCACTCCAGGGGGCCTTTCTCATGAGTCTTATCCCTGAGGTGCATGGGCCTTTGGCTGCCCCCTTCCTGGAGTCCTACCTGGCCAGGAAGGTCTGGAAGGGCACACGCACAGGGAAGTTGGCACTGCGGGCACCGACGGCCTCCAGGGTACCTGCCTGGCGCAGCTGCTTGGCCACGTGGCCCACATCAAAGAGGCCTGGAAGCTGTGGCCATGGGACAGAGCCAATAAGAGGTGGAGTCAAGGGGCTCAAGCTAGGGAAATGCAGGGCAGGGCACAAAGAGGGGGGAGGGGGCTGAGAAGGGCAGGGCAGGGGTGGGAGGGCTCTGGGGCCAGGTGCTTGGGGAGCTCACCTTTCCGGGGTTGGGGTTGAGGCATTGGATGAAATAGACACGGCTCCTGATGGGTGGAGAGAAGGTCACTGGGGTACAGATCAGTCTCCCATCCAACTCCCTGCCATTGGGTGTGGGGGACATTGTTCTGACCTGCCCAGCTGGGCTATGAGGTCCCCCAGGGACTGCTGGAATCGAGAGGCCAGTGTGGGTTTGCCTCGCCCTCCCCTGACCGGGGGCTCTGCTTCCTGGAATAGGCTGCCCACCAACTGTGGGAGAGAGGGGGCTGAGCGGCTTCCCTCCGGGGCTTGTCCATAGCCCAGCCTGCCCTCACCCCGGGGAGCCTGGATGGACCAGCCCATAGCGTCCAGCCCCGGCAAGCTCAGACCATGGTCCAAGGTGCCAGGGGCTTGAGGGCAAGCCCCTTGAGCAAGAGTGTCCAGGGAAGAAGGGCAGAATGGGGGACAGAGTGTGGAGGGGTGGGAGCCGCAGGGCTGGCAGCGGCACCTGGAGCTGGCTCTGGGCAAGCATTTCTACCACGGCAGGGTCAAGATGATCCCGGTTTCTGTTTAAAAATTTGTGAACCTGCAAAAGACAATGTGGGGAAGGGAGGGAAAGGCAAGGAGAGAAGGCTGGTGTGGAGGTTGGTCCCTTTGTCAATAATCCAGCCTCTCCCCTCTGAGTTAAAAGGCCACCTCTGTCTCTTTCACGAATTGTGCTGGGAAAATTGGAAATCCACATGCAAAAGAATAAAATTGGACTCTTCTCTCACACCATGTACAAAATTTAACTCAAAGTGAATGGGGCAAAGACCTAAATGCAAGGCCTGAAACTGTAAAACGCTAAGAAGAAAACATGGGGAGAAAGCTTCATGACACTGGATTTGCCAACAGTCTCTGGAAAACAGCACCAAAAGCACAGGCAACAAAAGAAAAAAGTATATATTTTTAAGAGCTTCATTTAAAAACAATATTTTTTTATTGATTTTAGTGAGAGGAAGGGAGAGGGAGAGAGATAGAAACATCAATGATGAGAGTCATGGATCGGCTGCCTCCTGCACGCCCCCTGCTGGGGATCGAGCCCGCAACCCGGGCCTGTGCCCTGACCGGGAATCTCCTGGTCAACACTCAACCTTTGAGCCACACCAGCCAGGCAAGAAAAAAGTATTTAATTAGATTTCATCAAAATTAAAAGCTTTTGTGCACCAAAAGCTATTATTAAGAGAGCAAAAAGACACCCCACAGAATGGGAGAAAATATTACCTATCAGATAAGGGATTACTATTCAGAACTCCTACGACTCAACAAGAAAAAAAACAAACAACTCGATTCAAAAATGGGTAAAGGCCTTGAAGAGACATTTCTCCAAAGCTATACAAATACCCCAGAAGCACACAAAAAGATTCTCAGCACCGTTAATCATCAGGGAAACGCAAATAAAAACCACAGTGAGATACCGTTCACACCCACTACGATGGTTATAATTAAAAAAAAAACAAAAATGGAAAATAACAAATTTTGACAAAAATGTAGGGAAATTGGAACCCTCATCACGCTGGTGGGAACGTGAAATGGTGCAGCCGCTGAGGAAAACTCTTTGGTGGCTCCTCAAAAATCTAGACACAGGATGACCGTGTGATCCAGCCATTCCACTTCCAGGTACAGACCCAAAGAACTGGAAGCGGAGACCAAACAGACACTGGCACACCCCTGTCCCCTCGCAAGGGGAAAAACCCCTTCGGCGAGCACCCAGCGTGTGACAAAGCTGGGGGACAGATGGCCACTCCCGTGTTACAGATGAGAACAGAAGTCGGGGCTCAGAGGAGAGCAGACTGCCTGAGGTTGTCAGAGCCAGGTCCTGAGCTCAGCTCCTCGTGGTCTGGAGGGTCCCTCGGCCTTGATCCCCCCGCCCCCTAACGCTCACCCAGAACTGGCTGGGGCCGAGGGCAAGCCTTGGAAGGGGCCTCCCCTCACCCACTCCTGTCACCTGTCAGGTGACTCACGTTTGAAAGGAAACATCAGGGTCACAGTTCCCTCACTGATTCACCCTGGAGCCTGTCCCTGATTCATCCCGATACCTGATAGGTGACAGTCCCCGCGTAATGCCTCACGGTGAAGATAGGAAGGGGCAGCTGGGGCTTGGCGTAGCAGGGGTGGGCGCCGTGGTGATAGTGGCACTTCTGGAGAAAGGTGTGGTCTGTGGCCTGAGAAGAGAGACGGCTGCCCTCAGGCCCGGGCTTCCCACCTATGCCCGGGCTCACAGTGAACACGAGGAGGGCTTCCCTTGTTTCCCAGACCCGCTGATAGGCCGAGTCGCCCCGTATCCGAGGCCTTAGACTCAGGGAGACCGCCTCTGTCGTTCCCAGCGACTGGATGACAAAGTGCTGTTGAGAAAGACACTGCCTCCCAGACACCGCCGCCTCAGGCGGTCAACACCGGTCATTTAAAAGGAATGGGGGACTTTAAGACCCCCAGCAATCACTCCTGGGAGGATGGTCTCGCGGCTCCAGGCATTTCTACGCAAGCCTTTTTAAAAATACTTTAAAAAAGCAACCCAGCAAGAGGTTATTCCGCGGAGCTAAGGGCCATATAACACAAACGCGTGGGAACACCCACCCGCTCAGGGCTCTGTAGGTGGGACGTGCGGCTCGGGGGAGCGGCTCGGGGGTCAACACCCCACTCAGACTCGAAAAGTTGCAGGCCTAAGAAAACCATGCTGGGTGATTCCAGAAGTGGCCCTGGGATGTCAGACGCCTGAGACTAGTTTTCATAAAACTGAACGGAATCTGAACCGGGAAAAGCAATCATTTATGAATTAACACACTGCGTTGATTTGGTAAGAGATTTCAAATATGTATGTTAATAAATGAATGTTACGTACTAATATAATATGTTGTTATAATAATAAACTTATATCTGTTACATATTAATACATTTTTTGAATCCTCGCCTGAGTATATGTTTTTATTGATTTTAAAGAGAGAGAAAGGGAGAGGGAGAAACACTGCTCAGTTGCCTCCCATATGCACCCTAACCGGGGATCGAACCCGAAACCTGGGTATGTGCCCTGACTAGGAACCAAACCTGGGACCTTTCAGTGCACAAAACGATGCTCCAACCAGCTGAGCCACACTGACCAGGGCTACATATTAATACTTTTCTATTAATATTACATTGATCAATGAAATATTATCACATTTGACTACCATTATTTTCAACCTCTAAATGGGAAAATGAGTGGGGGGGTCACCATCCGGGGTCATGGTTACTTAGCTCAAACAGCCTAGATCCCAGAGGCCCAAGCCGCACACGTGCTCTCGTGCCCAGCACGTCCATCCGCAGGGCCGGATAGGTGCGGCTTACCGTTCATTAATGCCTCTCCTGCTGCGCTGCGGGCTCTAATGGAGGGGCTGGGTCTGTTTTTGCTTGCCTTTTTAACCCTAGAACAATTCCTGGCACACATATTCGTTCATTCATTTAATATTCAGTGCACTCTAGGCCGTGTGCCAGGCACTACAGATAGGGCTAAAACCCTTCAGACGAGGGCCCCCATTATTTTAGAAGAGTCAATGAGTAAACATGCAATGCAATTGCTCATGGACACACGTGTTATAAATGATAAGGAAGGCAGAGGCTGGAGAGTAACGGGGAGCTAATAGGTAGGGCAGGTGGAGGGCAGTCAGTATTTGAGGAATGCATGCACCGTGGTCCTGAGGGTTGGCCCCTACTGGCCCTGGCATGCCTCCCATGAGCCCTGCTCAGTCCCCACCACTGTGCCCCTCAGGCACTACCGTCCTCCTTCTGTAGTGAGGACTTGAGGAACCTCAGAGAGGTCAGACATCTTGCTCAAGATCATTCAGCACAGGATTTGAACGCAGTTTGGCCACTGCCTTCTCAAGCTGTACTGAAGGTTCGTGGGCAGCATCTCTGGACCCATCGCCTTATTGCTCCCCCACTCCTTGTCCTTGCCACTGGGGGCTCACCTGGGACAGCCAGGTCTGGGCATCCAGGATACTCAGGAGGCTGTGGGGCTGGTCTACCAGGAGGTCCAGGCAGGACTCCCTCGGAGGCTGGGGGATGGGCACCCAGGGCAGCAACTCTCGCCGGCACTCCTCCTGGGAACAGCCAGCATTTGGCCGTTTACGGAGCCCACCCACATTCGTGGGGGACCTCATCTGAGCCACAGCGAGGATGGCTATCCCATTTTACAGATGAGAAAATTGAGGTTCAGAAGGACCAAGACGGCCCACAGCAAGCAGGCTTTGGGGTAGAACTCTCAGAGCAGTGCTCTCTCTTTCCCAGAAATGGCCTCTGTTCTGGGAAATAGCTGGGTGTCCCCCTGCCACATCCACGCCCAAGTCCCCTCACCTCCTCCTGGGCCAGCAGCATCTGGCTGGAGAAGAGCTGGAGACGCTCACTGGCGAGGTTGTTGCACAGTTGCTCTAGGCCATTCACCCGCAGTGCCTGGGGGCACATGGGCAGTGAGGTGGGCACCCACCCGAGGTGGAGGCACCAGGCAGGTGTGGGGGGCCTGGCGCCCTTCATTCCCCTCCCAGCACTCAGGGAGGAGTGGTGCCCCACGGCTGATGCTGCATCCTGCAGGGTCAAGTGCAAAGGCCATAGGCCTCCCTCTAGGATTCCACACCCCTGCCCTCTGCCTCAGCATGACTGAGCCGTGAGGCCTCTGGTCACAGACACCCTGTGGTCTGGAAGACTCCTTTGCCTATGACCTAGCCCACTGGCTCTCCGAATCCCACATCCTCATAAGCAGGGCTCCAGGCTACCGCCTCCAAGAAGTCTTCCGACATTCCTCCTGGAGGGATTACAGACTCCTTCCTCTGTGCCCCCCAGTAAGCCCAGCAGAGCCCTCACTTCTTGTAGCTTTGTTCAGAGGGTTTTGACACGCTCTAAAACACACACGCACACACACACACACACACACACACACACACACTTGTCATGGTCACCAAGGACATACTGGAGAACAGGAGAGGGCAGGGGTCAGTGAACAGGGCCCATGCAGGGACTCAGGGTGGGGCTGCCTCTTATTCTGGCCCCCTCCTCCCTGCCCTGAGGAGGCAGGATCCTCTGGGAAGGGGTGAAGAGCTTACGAAAGTCAGGGGGATTTGAGGGCTCTTAGTGCATGGGAGGTGAGGCCGAGGGCTGACCCATCCTAGGGCCTTCATCTTCCGCTGCCTTGGAGGCTCCTGTAGGACTCTGCGAAGCCAAGGAGGACAGGGCTCTCCAGAGGCGGCGTCAGGACTAGACAGAGCAGGGCAGAGTGGCTGTACCCACGGAGTGTGCAGCTGTCCCGTGGAGCATCTCAGGGCCAGGCAGGCAAGCAGCTCATGAGTGCCCCTCCCAGGGAAGCTAGAACTACTGGGGCCCCCAGAAATAATCAGGATGAGGTGGGCGCCCCGTCCGGGGCCCCACCCGAGGAGTGACCTCAAAGCCATAGACGTCCACGACAGTGATGGTGTTCATGCTGCCTCCCTCCCCGGGGGGGGCCAGCAGCGTGTTGGTCTTCTCCAGAAGCCAGGTGAAGAGCCGTGAGTACAGGGCCTTGGCCAGGGCATCCCTGTGGGCATGGTGTGTGAGCCACATGCAGCAGGGTACCAGGGAAGGCTGTGGCTCTCTCCTGCCCCCAGGGCCACCTGGCATCAATGGCACTCTCCACGGGTAGGGATCTTGAGGCCGGGCCATAAGGAGTCTCCTGGAGGGCAGAGAGTGTGCTCGTGGTATGTCAGGCCCAAGGCCCGCGTGGGCACTCAGCAAGCCATCAGGGGGTCTGGCCGTGCCCACACCTCCCCAGAACTCCCGAGCTCACCATGACCCTCCTGGTGACAGCCCCCTCCAGGCGCTCGGGCGGCACCCGCAGCAACCGGGCTGCTGTGTGGATCTCAGCCCAGCTGGACAGGGCAGCCACCTCCTGGGACTCCCTCTGGACAGAAGGAGGAGGGAGGAGGGAGAGCTCTGCTTATGCAATGGCCACGTCCCAGTGTGGAGGCTGGGCCTTGCTTTGCCTGGCAGCTGCCCTGTTACCCAAAGATAGATAGATCTGGGCTGGTAGGAGCCGGCTCTGGAGTCTGAGGGCCCTGAGTGTGAGTCCTGACTTTACCTCTTCACTAGCTGGCCTGCCTGACAAGTCTCTCCTCTCTGAACCTCCACTGTCTTATTGCAAAAGTGGAAACACACTCCTTACGCTCCGGTGTTGTCCTGAGAACTGCATAACATATGTGCCTGGTACTTAACGTATGTGCCTGGTACTTAACATATGTGCCTGGTACTTAACAGCTGCTCAGTTAGTACCAGGAATGCTTCCTGGGGGTAGCAGCTGAGGGGGTCAGGCAGTGGCACAGATGCCAAAATTCCAGACCTGTTTTTCTCCTCTAGACGATGGGGCTCTGCCTGATCTCCAGGACAGCAGGGAGGCCCAAGGGTGGCCCAGGGCTTTGCAGTCTCCCACATACACGTGTAGGGTGTCGCTATTGCTGCCCTGATTACGAAAACAAGCCCCATGGGCCCCTCGCCTCAGGGGAGCGCACCTCTGATGAGGAGAAGCAGATGTTGCCCAGCTGCAGGATGGTGGCCAGCATGGCCCAGACTGCAGTCAACTCCTCGGGGCACAAGCCCAGCGCCTGCAGGGCCTTCACCAGTGCTGTGAAGTCCTGGGCATCCTCCTTGCCCTGGAGCCTGCAGGCCCGGCCCTGCAAAGCACAGCAGGGGTGGGGAGCAGGGCCTGGCCACCCACAGCCTTGCTCTACTCCGGCTCCTCTTCAGACTCCTGCACCGAGACCCCTCCCTGGGCAGGCCCTGCTGCCCGCTTTGTGTGGACCTTGCCCCCACCTGGTTGAGGTAGTAGTAAGTCTCCGGCTCCTGCAGGGACAGCTGCTCCCGTTCCATGGGGTCCAGCCCTGTCAGCAGCTCGTAAAAAACATGGAAACTCCGCTCAGTCTGGGCCTTGGGGGAGAAGGACTGGCTTAGGGGAAAGAGTGGCTTTGTCCTGTGCCCCGAGACAGCAAGGAAAGTCCTGGGGAAGGCAGGTCTGGGGCTTGGGGACCACAGCCCCCCAGTGGCCCCTCCCTCTTTCCCACTCTAGGAGCCGCAGGGTGGGTATTACCTGGAACACCACCCTCGAGGTCTCAAGCAGATAGTGTGACACAGAAGCTCCCACGATGACCCCACTGTGGGCACAGGACACTGGGTGAGAGTGCCCAGAGTGCAACCCAGGGGCCCCGCTCAGAATGGGATCCACCATGGGCTGGACCCATGGGCAGCAGCCTCAGCTTCCCAGGGTACTGATCGTAGGTGCCCCCTGTGCCCACCTGGACCCCCATCACTTACTGCTGCAGGCAGAGGCATAAGACCTGGCCGAAGCGGCTGGCGTTGGCATTGAGGACTGTCTTGGCATGGCCAAAGCTGCCCAGCAAGGGCAGCAAATCGTTCAGCTAGATGGGGAAGGGCATTCAAGTTTCCCCAGAGGAAGCAGTGGGGCCCGCTGACCAGGCTCCCAGCTGAGGGCACTCTGTGCCTGGGACCGTGCTGGTCTAGCCCACCCTACCTTGTTCCCGCAGTAGACAATGCCTGGGGCTGTCCCCGAGGAGAACCCAGAGACCTGAAGACCACTCTTCTGGCCCAAAGGAGAAGGATGGTCCTGGGAAATGGCCTCACCTGACACCCTCTGTCCCTCATCTGCTCCTGCTCCAGGCTGCTTAGGAACCGCACGATCTGTTTGGCAGCTTCTGTCTTCCCTGAGCCGCTGTGCCCACTGCAAGAGGGAGGGGCTGGCAGGGTCTCCAAGAAGGGGCCCATAGGACAACCCCATTGAGCCAAGGAAGTGGGGACATGCCCAACTGGAAGTGGTATTCACCCTAGTGGAGGCCCCCCCAAAATGCAGAAAGATTGACCCAGAGCCTGGAGACCAAAAGAAGAAAATCGCTGAGGTGCCTCATTCAAGGGGCACATGTGGTGACTTCAGCCAGGACCACAGCCCTTTGGAAGTCCAGAGCTGCTACCAGTGGAGCAGAGGAGCAGTTTCAATGCAGACTCACCCGCCCCACCGCTTCCCAGCCCTCTTGGTGTTGCCTGTCAGTTCAGGCAAACAGCAGCCACCACTCACCTGAGGAGAATGCATGTGCCCTGCCCAGTGCTCTGAGAGAGGCTATAGGCCGATGCCACGATGGCAAAGATGTGTCTGGGGAAAGAGGGAGGGGGCAGATGAGAAGGTTGCCAGGGGCATCTGGGGCCCTCCCGGGTGGAGGCAGGATGTGCCCACCATCCCTAGGACCTCAGCCAACGGGACATACTAGGGCTTAGCCGCCAGGAGAGGTGAGCAAAAGGTTGGTGGGGAAAGTCACTTACGGGGTGGTATTGGGGGTCTTCCTGGGGCGGTAGGTGGCCAGGACCTCAGGTGAGAAGAGAGGCAGGGGCCAGCGGGGGTTCAGAGCGAGCAGGAGGGGCCCCCCAAAGGTCTGGGGAAGAAAGCAGAAGCTCTCACCAGAACATGGAAGGAGCAGGGGATGCAAATGGGATGGGGCCCTCATGCTGCCCGGCCCAGACCCTGGCCCCAGAGAGGGTTCCGCACCCAGCCCAGGAAGGGGAAGGAGAGAGAAGCTCCAGGGGTGCTGGAGGGCCCTCTGATCCCAGGGGAAAGGGAGCCCCAGCCCACCGTCCCCTCCCTGGGTCCCCCCATACGTAGATTCGGCCCAGGTGAAACCTCTTCTTCAGACACAGCAGCACGGAGCTGTCACACAGCGGTCTGTGGGGACAGCACGGTGGGGGAGCAGAGAGTTGGGGGTGGGGGTGCGGGGAGGTC